AACCACGCCCCGTAAAACTCCCAAAAAGTTTTGTGAAGCCGCCATTTTATTATCCTCGCATTAGCATTATTAGCATTAGCCCAGCGCAGAAACGCAGAGAGACTAACTTATGGCAACACAAAATAAAACATGGGAGCGGTGGAGATGAGGAGGTGTCGGCGTTCTGGCGATTTACTCGGAAGGCTTCAGTAGAAGCTGCTGGGAGTCCCAGCAGCTTCTACTGAAGCCAGTCCCCAACTCCGGGGACTTCCGGCCGGGGACTTTGGGCGGCAGTATACGCCGTGAAGTGGTTTGCGGCCTGCCAGTAAACCCAAAGCAGAAGAAGAAGAAGTGACATCAGCGGCTTCATTTGCCTAATCCTCCCTCAGATTCAAAGAGTTCTCATGAACCTTTGTGGGAAAAGTACTGCGGTGTGAATGCGCCTAATGGTATACTAAAATCCATGTGAAAAAAATTGCTTCTCACTGTTCTTAGGTCAAATATTTATATGTGATTAAAAATGCGATTAATTTCGATTAATTAATTACAAAGCCTCTAATTAATTAGATTAATTTTTTTAATCGAGTCCCGGCCCTAATAAATTAAATAAATTAAAAAAGACTAGCGTCACCACCTCCTAATGGACATTAATTTAGTTAGTAATTAACTGACATTTAGAGATGTTAAGTATCAATTTATCTCCCAAACTTCTCCTTTCGAAAGGATTGGAGAGTAGCTCTTGCACGGAATTGGGTGCGGACCGAGGTCCGGCGACTCCACCTGCACACCATTCTCATCCAAATACTGCGTCACCTTGGTCACTCACGAGTCTAAAAAACAACTCACGTCAACGCACGTAAGCAACGTGGGCGCCAACGTGAGCTCCCTCGTGACCAAAATATTTGACGGCGCTGATTGGCTGAAATTATGTTTCGGCGGCACAGTTTACTATTGAGACTTTTGCAACGTGCTGGTTGCTGCTGTTTGGCTCCGCCCGGTAATGATAAACTAATGCCATGGCAGGAAACATGTGACTTATCAGTAACTTTAGACATCGTAACACAATTTTAAACGATATTTTATTGTAGATTATACATTTTACTGATATCAATTGTATGATATTTACCTTGTTTATTAAAAATAAAAATATAAAATATATATATTTTTTAAATATATATTTTTTAAATATTTTTTTTTTATTTAATATTTTTTTTTGTATGTGGGAAGAGGTGGGGCGGCGCCCCTAGCGCCCCTATGGGCCGGCCGCCACTGCTTCCAGACTACACAAAATCTTCGCCTTTATTATTAAATGTTTCAAATATAAGGAACCATTGCCTAATCCATCTTGCTATATGATAAATTATGATCAGTGGCGGTTCTGGTCAAATATAAGTCAATGACTTAGATTCAATTTTAGTTGAGTTATCCTTTTTTTGTTACTTTTGCCCAAGATACAGAATATTGAAGGTGTTTGGGGTTATAAATTCCTTATTTATAAAGCCAAAATGTGTTTTTATTGTATTTCTTAATGTTTCTTGGTATTATATTAGTCACAAACTTGTTTCAGTAACTTAGTTTAAAGTTATTAAATTACATTACTGAAAGAAACCCCATCCCGGTTAACTTTGGCCCAGTTAACAGCCCAGTTTTTGCTGGACCACTTACATAAAATAAATACATTGCGTTATCATAGATGTATCTTTTTGGAGGGAAGCCACAGAGAAGTCCAAGCTGGGTGTTACAGGGGCACTGGCCCCTGTTGCCCCCCCCTTAGAACCGCCCATGACTATGATTATTCAGGAGTTTCTTTCTTTTTCACTGGCTTTCAAAAAGGAATTTAATCCAGTTTGATTTACAGTTTGTGACAGTGGAACCAGGAAGTGTGAAGACTTCTTCCATTCAACATTGTTAGCTAGAAAGCTTCTGAGGTCCCGACTTTAGTAATGTTGTTAAGGGAGCAAGGGAACATTTGAAAATTGGGAAGATTTTGTCAAATAGATGAGGACATATTTCATTAATTTAATTTAGCAACTTTAATTAAGTAACTTCTTTATGTTTTGTTCTGTAGGCTGTCACAAACCTGTCTGGGTATCGGTATCAACATGAAAACCATAAAAAGAGAATACCCTAATAGAAATAAACTCCCCAAAACCTTCAAAGATTTCTCAAAGACAGACAATTTGTATTTTGTCTAAAGCTTAATTATGTGACACAAGGTGATGGTAGGCTACACAACGTTACTTATGTAATCAACATTCCAAATGTGATACAGCTCCGACCTGTTTGGGAATGAGCAACACAAGTTGCATCTACCTGAAACAAGGCGATGCTTCAAGTCAAAGAGCATCTTTGTTTGTGAAACTTCACAGAGATACTGTCTACCAGGACGACTCATCTGACTTGAGAGATGAGGACATACCTTGCTCCTTGTTCCAGTGAGCAGAGACGATCACACACCACCACCAGAAGCCCACAGTCCCGTTGAGGCGGAACAGGGTGTCGCTTTAGGTTTTCTCGTCAAACTCCCCATCCATGAACTCCTCATACAGGGAGCGTAGATCGGACACGTTAGCCTCTCCGCGCACCGTGGGGCTGCTGTACTGGTACCAGCAGGGCCGCCTTAATGCATGGGCTGACCTGGGCTGAAGCCCAGGGGCCTACGGAGATCAGGGGCCTATCATGAGCAAATCAAAAAGTTTAAAAAAAAAAAGTAAATAAAAAAAAAAACTTAAAAAACATTTAAATAAACAAAGTCTTGGCTTTCAGAATATGAAACTTTTATTTCCAAAATCACACTATAAATACATTTTTGAAGCTTGTAAAGGGAAGATGACAGCTCTCACTCGCCACTAACTCCCCCTCCCTCCGGCTGAAATTATGAATGTAAGGCGTATAGTAATCATAGATAACACGGCAGGGTCCGTTACAGTTTGTTTTCATCTGGTTTCAAATAAACAAAGTCTTGGCTTTCAGAATATTAAACTTCTTTCGGCAAATTCAGATGATAAATACAACTTTGAAGCTTGTAACGGCATAATTACAAGCGGAGAACGGAGTAACGTGACGTCACAGCAGGCATAACAACAGCCGGTGTTTCTCGTGAGTGTTTTCCCTGGGAAACAAATACATGAGGGAGGCCCGATACGTCACTCATCTGGAGGAGAGGACCAGGCGCGCATAGAGCAGAGTGGAGAAGTGCGATCACAGAGCCTGCCGAGGCTATAAATGACTTTGATTTGTTGTTTAAATAGGGGGCCTACAAAACCATCAGCCCCAGGGCCAGATGGCAGGTTAAGGCGGGCCTGGGTACCAGTGCTTTGTCCCGATGGCCACTGACAGATACACGGTGGCCAGTATGCTCAGCACACAGGCGATGACCAGAGCCGTTGCGTAGCTGTTGTCAACCATTGTTCACCGAGGCGCAGACACGTCAAAAGGGGGATTAAGTTCCAGTGGTCAAGCCGTCGCGCATCAATGTAGCCAATGCAAACACTCTGATCCAAATCACTGTGGCATTGCAAAACACAGGCCACTGTATGTTAACGACAGCCCTTTATTTTATCGAGTGATACTCATATCCAATGCTTTCCTATAAATAATGGTCAGCGTCAGTAGCCTTGAATGTGCCATCTGTTCCCTTGTCCCACTTCCACAGATGGTGGGTGGCCCGACGCTGCGACAGATATCAGCAGCTAGCCCGCAATAACAACCCCTTAGTCCTCATCAAAGAAAGTCAAAAAGGGCCTGTATTATAAGATTTCCTATGCAGGATCAGTCAAAAATATTCAAATTGCATGGGTCTATTTTGGACGGCAGGGTGATGCCGGGTTCACCTAGGATGATATGAGTTGTAAACACTAATCCATGCGTTTTCCTCTTCCGGTTCGGCTGATCAGCAGATATAAAAATAACCATCTCTCTCTCAGGACGCTGGTGTGCATCGACGTTACAGAGAGAGCAGTGAAACACAAGACAGTTTGATCAGTAATAACTAAGAAGAGCAACACTATTAGAATATAATATTGACTGAATGCTCAAAATGAATAGCCTAGTTGATGTCGACCTCAGTTGTTATAAAAGCTGCTCACCACAGGGCAGCAAGAAGAGATTATTTTGCGGTCGACTAATGGATTGATATATATCAAATAAAAAATTAAATATTCTGTCACACAATCTGTGACATGACACCTTTGCCACGTGGGATATGAGTTTCTATTTTTCCCATGTTTTTTTCTTCTAAAGGCTGTATTGTCAGTGAAAGGAACAGTTGCATTGGACAGTTAACACAGACTTTGAGATGTAGTACTCACAGAGGTAGGAAGTAACTAAGTACATTTACTCAAGCACTGTACTTATGTACAATTTTGAGATACTTGTATTTTACTTGACTATTTCCATTGTATGCTACTTTGTGCTTTTACTCCACTTCAGTGCAGTGTACTTTTTCTCCATTACATTTATTTAATACCTTACTTTGCAGATTTGGATTAATCATCTGAAATATAATCAACACTTAAATCAGACTTTAGTTACACCATGGAGTAAATTCACAAGCTACCCTGCAGTATACAAACTCATTAAAACGGCATCTTTACCAGCTTTGATAACACTTAATGCATCAATAATTATAATCAAAACATATCATATACATGAAAGGGGCCGATCTGCACAATGAGTACTTTTACTTTTGTTACTTTAAGTATATTTTGATGCTAATAGTTTTGTTCTTGTACTTGAGTAACAATTTGAATGCAGTAAGACTGATATGTGTTGCCCCTATGATAAAATAAGTGGCTAGTTGGTTGCATTCTTTGTGAATTTAATAACGGAACATGTTGTCCTTCCTAATAAGATTTCGGTAAACATTAGTATTACTATGGTAGCCTCAAGTCTTACAACAAAGATTATTACAACATACCAACTATAAATATAAAACTGTTATTTTATGATTAACTTTCCTAAAAAAGACTGAGATTGTCTGATACACTTTCCAAAATTGCAAAACATCACACAAGAGACCATTTTGTTTCTTTAAATATTTTGTATTCTGATCATTGTAAAGTTTGTGACAGCAATTGTACAAAGACATCTCAAAGAATATGTCCACGGATGATAACATAAACACTCTCTATAAATAAAAATAAATGACAGTGCATTGTTTTTTGGCAAGATACTGAACACCAAGGCACAGCCATCTGGTGTGTGTGTGTGTGTGTGTGTGTGTGTGTGTGTGTGTGTGTGTGTGTGTGTGTGTGTGTGTGTGTGTGTGTGTGTGTGTGTGTGTGTGTGTGTGTGTGTGTGTGTGTGTGTGTGTGTGGGAATGAGCATTTCAGTCATTCATATGAGTTTGGGACTTTGTGTAGCAGCCATCAGTGTATGGTGTGTTTGTGAATGGATACATTTTGGCATATATTGTAAAAGTGCCATATAGTGGCCATAGTGTTACGATGTATCACTTAATGGACTAGGTGCTTAAAGTTTAATCCTTAATACGAAAATAAAATAAATATTCCACTGTCCTTCATTGGTCCGGTCAATGCAAAGTTAATTCTAAAAGCAAGTTCATCAGAAGCTGTGGAAGACTTCCACTCAAAAAATCTGGGATTTTTAACAACAAAAATAAATCCTTTTTCATACCAGCATTGGCAGTCATGTTGTGATTACTGTGTAAAAACAGCCCTAATGCTATTGCTGGTTTAACAGTAGCCATGAAAGCAGTAATAGGCAGGGTGCGGTGACAAGACTGATCTTGTGTCTTACTCCACTGGAAGCTGTAAATGAGGAAAAAAGTAAACCAAACATTAATTTAAATTTAAACAAAATGTAATTGTTGTATTAAGTAGCACTCAGTATTTACTTACATATGCCATTTACGCCAATGGAGCTGCCTTCAATGTCGAATCCAAGGACTGTTGAAGCTGCGTTGATCAAAGCGTTCGCAATCTGAGTGCTAGTAGGAGCAGATGTGCTTTCAAATGAGAGATCAATGATGGTGATGATTGATCCGTTACTGCAGAAAGAGAAAACAAATATTGTTTGAAATATCAGATATAGGATCCTACTCTTTATTATAAAACTTTAATGGTCTTAAAAAATTACCTGAATGAAACAACATCTAGGGATTTGAAGGACGAAGGGAATTCCCTTTTGAAAACAGGTGTAAGCTGTAGAAACACAAAACAAAAACATATATTTTTTCACATAAACCTTTGTATTGGATTTAGAGCTTGACTCATTTATTTGACTTTATCTTTATTGGTGAATTGGTTTTCATCAATTAATAATTCCTAATCATAGTGTGGTAACTGTGGAGTAGGCCTAGAATTCACATGTTTTGAGTGGGTGGACTAAAAAAACGTACCTGAGTATTTATCATTGTCGCCCGAGCTTTATAAGCAGCAGAAGATGGATTCAGCAATTCATTGGTAAATGTGTCTTGAACAGATCTGAAAGTCACCCTTTTTGTTATAAGGGCTATAGTAGTAGGTGCTGCAGTCGCAGGTCGAGCCGTTGTAGGTGCTGCAGTTGTGGGTGCAACAGTTGTATCTAGGAATGGACTTGCTGTAATAACAGACATATCAATATTATGTTAATATGTATCAGTGCCCAAACCAAGAGGATTTATGTGCCAGTTTCACAGAAATAAGATAAATAATGAAGGGCTTACAAATTATATTTGTTCTGAAGTTTCTTACGAAAAAGTATTCTTACATTGAATAACAATTTATTTACATAACAATTAAACTGAAAATCATTAAAGTTGTGTTAATTAATTTTGTCTTGACATACGTTTATTGTGTAGCGACATTATTTTGTTAGTAAATTATTTAAAAATCAAGCATGTGCAGCAAATGTTTGAAACTTATTGGAGAGAAACATTGTGTTGTGTATACTTACATATAATTGTGACTGAGGCAGGAGTTATGCTCACGTCGAAGTTGTTGCTGGTATTAGTCACAGCTTCGACTAAGACTTGAGTCACTTCACTATTCTGTGGGAGATCTGCAGTGGCAGTAGTGCTGTCGAACACAACTGCCAGCTCTGCCTCAGTTTCGGTCGCCCTTACTTCTACAGGCCTATTTTATAACATCAAACAAAAAGGAGAACAATTATGATATGAAAGACTCTGTCTGTTGCCTTGTGTCGTCTGATTTACATGTGTCACTATCAACACTGAAGAAATTCTCATTTTGAGATCCAAATCCGTAAAGAAAAAGAATAAGTCTTAGATAAAAATGCTTTACCTGAGCTTTTTCACCTTGCAATGGGAAAATGTGTTTGGAAATCTGGGTTTGTATATCTTAGAACACTGCAAAAAAAGACATTGAAAGACTTTTAGTAACTTTTGTCACAATATTCTTAAGATATCAATTCAGATAAATTCAAATCTCTGTAATATAAAAAAAAAAAACTCACCGTTGATATAAGTTTTGTTTCTAGTCGTTTGTATTCAGGGCTTGTGTTGTTATTATACGCATCAATAAATGTTTCTCCAGACAAGGCTGCTGTCACGACGAATGTTGGACTAGCAGCAGTTGTGGGTGCTTCAGTCATGGGTGCTGCAGTTGTGGGTGCAGCAGTTGTAGGTGCTGCAGTTGTAGGTGAAGCAGTCGTGGGTGCTTCAGTCGTGGGTGCAGCAGTTGTAGGTGCTGCAGTTGTGGGTGCAGCAGTTGCAGGTGCTGCAGTTGTGGGTGCAGCAGTTGTATCTAGGAATGGACTTGCTGTAATAACAGACATATCAATATTATGTTAATATGTATCAGTGCCCAAACCAAGAGGATTTATGTGCCAGTTTCACAGAAATAAGATAAATAATGAAGGGCTTACAAATTATATTTGTTCTGAAGTTTCTTACGAAAAAGTATTCTTACATTGAATAACAATTTATTTACATAACAATTAAACTGAAAATCATTAAAGCTGTGTTAATTAATTTTGTCTTGACATACGTTTATTGTGTAGCGACATTATTTTGTTAGTAAATTATTTAAAAATCAAGCATGTGCAGCAAATGTTTGAAACTTATTGGAGAGAAACATTGTGTTGTGTATACTTACATATAATTGTGACTGAGGCAGGAGTTATGCTCACGTCGAAGTTGTTGCTGGTATTAGTCACAGCTTCGACTAAGACTTGAGTCACTTCACTATTCTGTGGGAGATCTGCAGTGGCAGTAGTGCTGTCGAACACAACTGCCAGCTCTGCCTCAGTTTCGGTCGCCCTTACTTCTACAGGCCTATTTTATAACATCAAACAAAAAGGAGAACAATTATGATATGAAAGACTCTGTCTGTTGCCTTGTGTCGTCTGATTTACATGTGTCACTATCAACACTGAAGAAATTCTCATTTTGAGATCCAAATCCGTAAAGAAAAAGAATAAGTCTTAGATAAAAATGCTTTACCTGAGCTTTTTCACCTTGCAATGGGAAAATGTGTTTGGAAATCTGGGTTTGTATATCTTAGAACACTGCAAAAAAAGACATTGAAAGACTTTTAGTAACTTTTGTCACAATATTCTTAAGATATCAATTCAGATAAATTCAAATCTCTGTAATATAAAAAAAAAAAACTCACCGTTGATATAAGTTTTGTTTCTAGTCGTTTGTATTCAGGGCTTGTGTTGTTATTATACGCATCAATAAATGTTTCTCCAGACAAGGCTGCTGTCACGACGAATGTTGGACTAGCAGCAGTTGTGGGTGCTTCAGTCATGGGTGCTGCAGTTGTGGGTGCAGCAGTTGTAGGTGCTGCAGTTGTAGGTGAAGCAGTCGTGGGTGCTTCAGTCGTGGGTGCAGCAGTTGTAGGTGCTGCAGTTGTGGGTGCAGCAGTTGCAGGTGCTGCAGTTGTGGGTGCAGCAGTTGTAGGTGCTGCAGTTGTGGGTGCAGCAGTTGTAGGTGAAGCAGTCGTGGGTGCTGCAGTTGTGGGTGCAGCAGTTGTAGGTGAAGCAGTCGTGGGTGCAGCAGTTGTAGGTGAAGCAGTCGTGGGTGCAGCAGTTGTGGGTGCTGCAGTTGTGGGTGCTGCAGTTGTGGGTGCAGCAGTTGTAGGTGCAGCAGTTGTGGGTGCAGCAGTTGTAGGTGCAGCAGTTGTGGGTGCTTCAGTTGTGGGTGCAGCAGTTGTGGGTGCAGCAGTTGTGGGTGCAGCAGTTGTAGGTGCAGCAGTTGTGGGTGCTTCAGTTGTAGGTGCTGCAGTTGTGGGTGCAGCAGTTGTGGGTGCAGCAGTTGTAGGTGCAGCAGTTGTAGGTGCTGCAGTTGTGGGTGCAGCAGTTGTAGGTGCAGCAGTTGTGGGTGCTTCAGTTGTGGGTGCAGCAGTTGTGGGTGCAGCAGTTGTAGGTGCTGCAGTTGTGGGTGCAGCAGTTGTGAGTGCAGCAGTTGTGGGTGTAGCAGTTGTGGGTGCAGCAGTTGTGAGTGCAGCAGTTGTGGGTGCAGCAGTTGTAGGTGCAGCAGTTGTGGGTGCAGCAGTTGTGGGTGCAGCAGTTGTGGGTGCAACAGTTGTGGGTGCAGCAGTTGTGGGTGCAACAGTTGTGGGTGCAGCAGTTGTGGGTGCAGCAGTTGTGGGTGCAGCAGTTGTGGGTGCAGCAGTTGTGGGTTGCAGCAGTTGTGGGTGCAGCAGTTGTGGGTGCAACAGTTGTGGGTGCAGCAGTTGTGGGTGCAGCAGTTGTAGGTGCAACAGTTGTAGGTGCAGCAGTTGTGGGTGCAGCAGTTGTGGGTGCAGCAGTTGTGGGTGCAACAGTTGTGGGTGCAGCAGTTGTGGGTGCAGCAGTTGTGGGTGCAGCAGTTGTGAGTGCAGCAGTTGTTGGTGAAGCAGTCGTGGGTGCAGCAGTTGTGGGTGCAGCAGTTGTAGGTGCAGCAGTTGTGGGTGCAGCAGTTGTAGGTGCAGCAGTTGTGGGTGCTGCAGTTGTGGGTGCAGCAGTTGTAGGTGCAGCAGTTGTGGGTGCTTCAGTTGTAGGTGCTGCAGTTGTGGGTGCAGCAGTTGTGGGTGCAGCAGTTGTGGGTGCAGCAGTTGTGGGTGCAGCAGTTGTGGGTGCAACAGTTGTGGGTGCAGCAGTTGTGGGTGCAGCAGTTGTAGGTGCAACAGTTGTAGGTGCAGCAGTTGTGGGTGCAGCAGTTGTGGGTGCAGCAGTTGTGGGTGCAGGAGTTGTAGGTGCAGCAGTTGTGGGTGCTGCAGTTGTGGGTGCTGCAGTTGTGGGTGCAGCAGTTGTAGGTGCAGCAGTTGTGGGTGCAGCAGTCGTGGGTGCAGCAGTTGTGGGTGCAGCAGTTGTAGGTGCAGCAGTTGTGGGTGCTTCAGTTGTAGGTGCTGCAGTTGTGGGTGCAGCAGTTGTGGGTGCAGCAGTTGTAGGTGCTGCAGTTGTGGGTGCAGCAGTTGTAGGTGCAGCAGTTGTGGGTGCTTCAGTTGTGGGTGCAGCAGTTGTGGGTGCAGCAGTTGTAGGTGCTGCAGTTGTGGGTGCAGCAGTTGTGAGTGCAGCAGTTGTGGGTGTAGCAGTTGTGGGTGCAGCAGTTGTGAGTGCAGCAGTTGTGGGTGCAGCAGTTGTAGGTGCAGCAGTTGTGGGTGCTTCAGTTGTAGGTGCTGCAGTTGTGGGTGCAGCAGTTGTGGGTGCAGCAGTTGTGGGTGCAGCAGTTGTGGGTGCAGCAGTTGTGGGTGCAACAGTTGTGGGTGCAGCAGTTGTGGGTGCAGCAGTTGTGAGTGCAGCAGTTGTTGGTGAAGCAGTCGTGGGTGCAGCAGTTGTGGGTGCAGCAGTTGTAGGTGCAGCAGTTGTGGGTGCAGCAGTTATAGGTGCAGCAGTTGTGGGTGCTGCAGTTGTGGGTGCAGCAGTTGTAGGTGCAGCAGTTGTGGGTGCTTCAGTTGTAGGTGCTGCAGTTATGGGTGCAGCAGTTGTGGGTGCAGCAGTTGTGGGTGCAGCAGTTGTGGGTGCAACAGTTGTGGGTGCAGCAGTTGTGGGTGCAGCAGTTGTAGGTTCAGCAGTTGTAGGTGCAGCAGTTGTGGGTGCAGCAGTTGTGGGTGCAGCAGTTGTGGGTGCAGCAGTTGTAGGTGCAGCAGTTGTGGGTGCTTCAGTTGTAGGTGCTGCAGTTGTGGGTGCAGCAGTTGTGGGTGCAGCAGTTGTAGGTGCAACAGTTGTAGGTGCAGCAGTTGTGGGTGCTGCAGTTGTGGGTGCTGCAGTTGTGGGTGCAGCAGTTGTAGGTGCAGCAGTTGTGGGTGCAGCAGTTGTGGGTGCAGCAGTTGTGGGTGCAGCAGTTGTAGGTGCAGCAGTTGTGGGTGCTTCAGTTGTGGGTGCAGCAGTTGTGGGTGCAGCAGTTGTAGGTGCAGCAGTTGTAGGTGCAGCAGTTGTGGGTGCTGCAGTTGTGGGTGCTGCAGTTGTGGGTGCAGCAGTTGTAGGTGCAGCAGTTGTGGGTGCAGCAGTTGTGGGTGCAGCAGTTGTGGGTGCAGCAGTTGTAGGTGCAGCAGTTGTGGGTGCAGCAGTTGTAGGTGCTGCAGTTGTGGGTGCAGCAGTTGTGGGTGCAGCAGTTGTAGGTGCAGCAGTTGTAGGTGCTGCAGTTGTGGGTGCAGCAGTTGTAGGTGCAGCAGTTGTGGGTGCTTCAGTTGTGGGTGCAGCAGTTGTGGGTGCAGCAGTTGTAGGTGCTGCAGTTGTGGGTGCAGCAGTTGTGAGTGCAGCAGTTGTGGGTGTAGCAGTTGTGGGTGCAGCAGTTGTGAGTGCAGCAGTTGTGGGTGCAGCAGTTGTAGGTGCAGCAGTTGTGGGTGCAGCAGTTGTGGGTGCAGCAGTTGTGGGTGCAGCAGTTGTGGGTGGAGCAGTTGTGGGTGCAGCAGTTGTAGGTGCAGCAGTTGTAGGTGCAACAGTTGTAGGTGCAGCAGTTGTGGGTGCAGCAGTTGTGGGTGCAGCAGTTGTGGGTGCAGCAGTTGTAGGTGCAGCAGTTGTGGGTGCTGCAGTTGTGGGTGCTGCAGTTGTGGGTGCAGCAGTTGTAGGTGCAGCAGTTGTGGGTGCAGCAGTTGTGGGTGCAGCAGTTGTGGGTGCAGCAGTTGTAGGTGCAGCAGTTGTGGGTGCAGCAGTTGTAGGTGCTGCAGTTGTGGGTGCAGCAGTTGTGGGTGCAGCAGTTGTAGGTGCAGCAGTTGTAGGTGCTGCAGTTGTGGGTGCAGCAGTTGTAGGTGCAGCAGTTGTGGGTGCTTCAGTTGTGGGTGCAGCAGTTGTTGGTGCAGCAGTTGTAGGTGCTGCAGTTGTGGGTGCAGCAGTTGTGAGTGCAGCAGTTGTGGGTGTAGCAGTTGTGGGTGCAGCAGTTGTGAGTGCAGCAGTTGTGGGTGCAGCAGTTGTAGGTGCAGCAGTTGTGGGTGCAGCAGTTGTGGGTGCAGCAGTTGTGGGTGCAGCAGTTGTGGGTGCAACAGTTGTGGGTGCAGCAGTTGTGGGTGCAGCAGTTGCAGGTGCAACAGTTGTAGGTGCAGCAGTTGTCGGTGCAGCAGTTGTGGGTGCAACAGTTGTGGGTGCAGCAGTTGTGGGTGCAGCAGCTGTGGGTGCAGCAGTTGTGAGTGCAGCAGTTGTTGGTGAAGCAGTCGTGGGTGCAGCAGTTGTGGGTGCAGCAGTTGTAGGTGCAGCAGTTGTGGGTGCAGCAGTTGTAGGTGCAGCAGTTGTGGGTGCTGCAGTTGTGGGTGCAGCAGTTGTAGGTGCAGCAGTTGTGGGTGCTTCAGTTGTAGGTGCTGCAGTTGTGGGTGCAGCAGTTGTGGGTGCAGCAGTTGTGGGTGCAGCAGTTGTGGGTGCAACAGTTGTGGGTGCAGCAGTTGTGGGTGCAGCAGTTGTAGGTGCAACAGTTGTAGGTGCAGCAGTTGTGGGTGCAACAGTTGTGGGTGCAGCAGTTGTGGGTGCAGCAGTTGTGGGTGCAGCAGTTGTGGGTGCAGCAGTTGTGGGTGCAGCAGTTGTGGGTGCAACAGTTGTGGGTGCAGCAGTTGTGGGTGCAGCAGTTGTGGGTGCAACAGTTGTAGGTGCAGCAGTTGTGGGTGCAGCAGTTGTGGGTGCAGCAGTTGTAGGTGCAGCAGTTGTGGGTGCAGCAGTTGTGGGTGCAGCAGTTGTGGGTGCAACAGTTGTGGGTGCAGCAGTTGTGGGTGCAGCAGTTGTAGGTGCAGCAGTTGTGGGTGCAACAGTTGTGGGTGCAGCAGTTGTGGGTGCAACAGTTGTGGGTGCAACAGTTGTGGGTGCAGCAGTTGTGGGTGCAGCAGTTGTAGGTGCAACAGTTGTGGGTGCAGCAGTTGTGGGTGCAGCAGTTGTGGGTGCAACAGTTGTGGGTGCAGCAGTTGTGGGTGCAACAGTTGTGGTGCTTCGTTGGGTGTGCTTCAGTTGTAGGTGCTGCAGTATGTGGGGTGCTGCAGTTGTGGGTGGATCAGTTGTAGGTGGAGCAGTTGTGGGTGGATCAGTTGTAGGTGGAGCAGTTGTGGGTGGAGCAGTTGTGGGTGGAGCAGTTGTGGGTGGAGCAGTTGTAGGTGGATCAGTTGTAGGTGGAGCAGTTGTGGGTGGAGCAGTTGTAGGTGGAGCAGTTGTGGGTGCTTCAGTTGTAGGTGCTGCAGTTGTGGGTGCAGCAGTTGTGGGTGCAGCAGTTGTGGGTGCAGCAGTTGTGGGTGCTTCAGTTGTAGGTGCTGCAGTTGTGGGTGCAGCAGTTGTGGGTGCTTCAGTTGTGGGTGCAGCAGTTGTTGGTGCAGCAGTTGTGGGTGCAGCACTTGTGGGTGCAGCAGTTGTGGGTGCAGCAGTTGTAGGTGCAGCAGTTGTGGGTGCAGCAGTTGTGGGTGCAACAGTTGTAGGTGCAGCAGTTGTGGGTGCAGCAGTTGTGGGTGGAGCAGTTGTAGGTGCAGCAGTTGTGGGTGCAGCAGTTGTGGGTGCAGCAGTTGTAGGTGCAGCAGTTGTAGGTGCAGCAGTTGTGGGTGCATTAGTTGTTGGTGCAGCAGTTGTGGGTGCATTACTTGTGGGTGCAGCAGTTGTGGGTGCAGCAGTTGTAGGTGCAGCAGTTGTGGGTGCAGCAGTTGTGGGTGCAACAGTTGTAGGTGCAGCAGTTGTGGGTGCAGCAGTTGTGGGTGCTTCAGTTGTAGGTGCAGCAGTTGTGGTTGCAGCAGTTGTGGGTGCAACAGTTGTGGGTGCAGCAGTTGTGGGTGCAGCAGTTGTGGGTGCTTCAGTTGTCGGTGCAGCAGTCGTAGGTGCTTCAGTTGTAGGTGCTGCAGTTGTGGGTGCAGCAGTTGTGGGTGCAGCAGTTGTGGGTGCAACAGTTGTAGGTGCAACAGTTGTGGGTGCAGCAGTTGTGGGTGCAAGAGTTGTGGGTGCAGCAGTTGTGGGTGCATTAGTTGTTGGTGCAGCAGTTGTGGGTGCAGCAGTTGTAGGTGCAACAGTTGTGGGTGCAACAGTTGTGGGTGCAGCAGTTGTGGGTGTTGCAGTTGTGGGTGCAGCAGTTGTAGGTGCAACAGTTGTGGGTGCAACAGTTGTGGGTGCAACAGTTGTGGGTACAACAGTTGTAGGTGCAGCAGTTGTGGGTGCAACAGTTGTGGGTGCAGCAGTTGTGGGTGCAGCAGTTGTAGGTGTTGCAGTTGTGGGTGCTGCAGTTGTGGGTGCTGCAGTTGTATGTGTTGTTGCAGCTACATCGGCAGTTGTCGATACCACTGTTATGAAAACATTAAATATCACCCACACTGATACATTTAAAGGTGGACATTGCTTGCAAAAATTACCCCCCCCCCCCTAAAAAAATATGCATTGGATTAGCATGATGTGGGCATACTTCGAAGAGTAAAGTCAGTTTTACCAATTGAACCCATTTTCACCTTTAGCTGATTAGACGGCAAACGTTACCCTCATTTTGGAGTGTAATTAAGTTTATTTCCCAAAAAGCCCACTGCAGCCGCCACAACCAAACAATGACCCCTCTGGAATTCTTGTTCGTCTTCGAAGTTTAAGGTACAAATTTAAACTCAGGTTAGATTTGCCATTTCCTATCATGATTTAAAGGTGAAACTGGACTCTGATGTGTTTTTTTTTAAAGCAATATTGGATAATGAGCTGGCAATAACTCCACCTTATCTACATGTTCCCTACGCCTTTTCAATAAAATAAACAAACAGTATGAAGTACCTTCAAAGTAATCAGTTTATTATCACACTTACCTATTAGAATCAGGGCGAGTGATATGATCCGTTTGATACCCATCCTGTCTTTCTTTGAACCTATACAATCAAATGATACATAGATTTACCAACAGAAGTAGCAAGTAATGCTATACTACATATATATATACTGCTATAATGATACCCAAACCATCCTAGGGGAATTGGTTTGATACAAAGAACAATTATTTTCCGCAATTATTATGATATAATAATATTTCCTTAAAGTAGGGCAGAGATTATTTACAATAAGTATTGTGAAAACACAAAAAAAAACCTCTCGGTCACAAAAACTTAGACACACACAAACAAAGTTAATAACTGTACAGAAGTCAACATATTTACTTAAACATGTACTTACCCCAAATGAAAATATAATAAGATGGGAAAGAGTTTATCCTCCTTTCTTTCAAATGTTATTATTTCAGTGTCTTCAAATATAGTCCGGTTCAGCGTCTGGGATATTGGAAACCTCACCTTCTGTGACAGTTGACATCTATCAAGGGTTTATATAGGAAACAAATAAAAGCCATTGACGTGACTCAAACGTCACACATTTTTCTGAAATGTTGCCTCACCTTAGCAATGAACAAAACAAGATCTCATGATAGAGAATGTCAGCTATTCATCTTGTTTGTTTCTTGGCCCAGTGTCATAACTATACTAATCTCTGTCATTCCTTGTCCATCTATGTGAATGTGTGGCGAAAGATAATGACAAACAAAGAAATATAGATTTCTAGTGACGTGGTAAAAAAGCAGGTAACATATGCAAGAGAAAAAAAGAATAGCATATTGTAACCTAAATCAATAAATGAGATGTATTTTCTACCTCACATCTTTTGTGTCATGTAAATTCATTTGAATGTCACTTCTACATTGATGGTGGAGCAGTTAAAACTTTAAGATGAGGTTAGTCTGGTGTATGAAGAGTTTATTGCCAAGTGTAATAAACCACTTTAACAATATGTCTCGGTTTAGTTTTTAATGATTTTAATGATAACGCTGCTCTTCTATTTTAGGATGCATAGCTTCTTAGTTTCCGTGACGTAGTTGCCTAACCTTATGTTGTTTTTGCATTGCACCTCCTAGAGACAGTGATCAGATAAAGGCATTCATGTAATGTGTTTCCCGTCACTGTGAGTCATGTAATTGAGGTTTTCTTAAGAGAAGTCAGTTATCATGTGACTCATACATGCTAAATATAACCTTCAAACATCACTTCAGTGAAGTCATGCCTCTATTGTATGTGAAAAACTCCTGGTATTATGTTGTCAATGTTTTTTTACCAACTGTGTTTAGAAATTAATTGAAAAGTGAATACAAAGTCACGAAGAAAAAATGATACCGAGTATGATCCCTGCTTTACAATGAACATAACAATGTCTAGTAAGATAAGATAAGATGGAATTGTATTTATCCCCGTTGAAATTCAGGAATTAAAGCAGCAACAGAATGATAGTGAAAAACAGGACAGTACAGATTCACACAAGGTAAAAAAGTAATACAAAAATTCTAAATAAAATGATATAGTAACTGTTAAGATATATACATATTTGGGTTCTGATTGTTAGATATATATATGCGGATGCAGGTCAAAGTAATTTGTACAAACAGCGCAGATTTTATGTATGTACGGGTTACTTTAATTGGTATAGTTAAAAGTAATGTTGGTATATTTATACATAAAACATTTACAAAAACTCCCATGAATACATTTTTTCGCTAGTGACGCTAGTAAAAGAATAAAAGAATGCATGTTTTTGTGCTATGTTTTTAAAAATATGTTTTACCATAAATTCTTAATAAAACTAACACTGCTACCAACAATAAAATGAAATACTTTTACTTTTTCAGTTATTCTCTGTCAAACTCCCCTCCTGAGAACAAATTCAAGCCACTTATGCTATATTTGATGAGGGATAACATTATTTGTTGCCATAAGTTCTACATGAAATTGATACTGTTGGACTCAGTACTACTTGGACTACAACCACAAGTACAATCAAGTACTTTTACTGTGTACTTTTTGAGTAATCCCCTGTCAAACTTCCCTTCTGAGTACAATAATGCATGTTTTCTGCTATCTTTGATGAGAGATACAATGATTTACACCCTTGTCACTCTTGTTGGCCTCTTATGATGCTGCTAAAGTCCTTCTACGCACCTTTTTAAGACTCCAATACAGGCATTTCTACTGTATGTGTTTGGAGAAATGACACAATATTTGGCCCAGATTTGTACACCTCGATATCTTGTAGTGCAGGAAGAAATACACACTGCTGCCTGCAGGTGATATAGGCTTTGTTTTGCAATATTTATTCAAAGGTCACTGCTATGGGATTAGTTTTGTGTCATAAAGATAAGCAAAACGAAGAGTTTAAGAGAAAAAAAACCGAGTCAAGCAACATTTATTTAATTAAAAAAATAAAACTACAAGTTGCAAACAAATCATTTGTGTAATCATGTAAAGTCTTTTTTCTTTGTTTTAACACAGGGGTGCCCACACTTTTTTGGCTGGTGAGCTACTTTTGAAATGACCAGCTCACCGAGGTCTACCAACCAAAAATAAAATCCCAAATTTTGCTTGAATAACACGTTTTATTTATACATGGGATAACTACAGGGCTGCAACAAACGACTCATTTGATAATCGATTAGTCTATCGATTAATGAAACGATTAATCGACTATTCGGACTATTACTGTATGCCTTGCACAATTTCTCAAACGCTCTTATTTAGCCATCAACTTTTAGATTTAGCTTGAGGTTGTTTTAGGCATGTGGAAACTAACAATGAAGACAATAAAGATGAATACTTGATTCAAAAATACATATTATTAAATTAACTTAACAAATTGTGAACAAAATTAACATTGCTTTTTATTTAAATTAAATAAATAATATTTCACATCAAAAGAAACAACAATGTTTTAACAAATCGTATTAAATAATCTGATGACAGAACTGTAAACAGAATAGCTGAAACTTTAACAAAATAAAGAGATCTGTTACCTCTAATCCAGGGGTGTCAAACTCAAGGCCCGGGGGTCAAATCCGGCCCGCGACTTCATTTTATGTGGCCCGCAAGAGCTTGCAAAGAATATAATACGTTTATTATACGGTTACATGCCACTTTACAGAAGCTGGTTGCCCATAAACTACATGTCCCACAATGCATCTCGTTTTGTGACATGCCACCGAAGAGACTTGCAATTATTTGCCCTGGACTTCTGCTTTCAAATGTAGTTAGTTATTACCCTACCCGATAATAATCCAATTCAGAGGCAATAGTGTAATATAATACATTATTTTATATATATAAAATGCGATGAAATTGAGTTTGACACCCCTGCTCTAATCATTAACCCATGTTTGTATAATGTAGTTAACTCCGTGTGTTGCTGCTAGCATACATAACACCTGACGTGGAAAAGTTACTCGTGGATGGGGCTACAGAGCTGCTAGAAAGACAGTCGAACCCGGTGCATTCCTCCGTCTGAATGTGGTGCGCTTTTGCTAAATGTTTAGACAATTTGCTCGTGTTACCGCCCTTAGCTAAACACCCTAGGCAACGCACATTTATGGAGCTAATTTCCTGCCATAACTCCACAAACAAACTAAACAGGTTTTTACAAATGCCTCATGATTCACTAACAAACACAATGTGGTTTGCAAATACAAAACACCATCTACAAACTAATGCATTTAGTTTTGCAAAGAAAAAACGTATCTATCAAATTAACACATACCATTTTTCTAATAAATCATGTTTTCAGAGACAAATTCAGCATAAGTACAACTTTTTTTTACAACTACAACACCTTTTTTTACAAGTACAACACTTTTTCTTCTCACGGCGGAATATTACTGCCTGCTGTCCATTGGGGAAGGCGGGAGCCTCCCGCCGGGAGGTTTATCAGAGCATGGAACAGCCCTTGCCAGCCTGATGACAGAGGTGTTTCTAGCGATCCAGCGATCTGGGTCAGTGTTTGAACAAGGTGAATTTAGCGATCACAACGAAAACAACCAAGACACATATTGAGACCAGAAAATGAATGTTATTAGGGCTGTACATATAATAAGCCTCTGTCTAAAATGGACAACATTGTAAGGAGATTTAAACTATACAGCGATTCTGCACTTGGTCAATCAGCTGCTCTTCATTTTATTTCCTGCTATATTCAATGAGTGATACAAATATGTTTTACCATAAACTCTGAATGAAACTGATACTGTTGGACTCGGTACTAGTTTACTGCTACCAGAAATAAAAGGAAGTACTTTACTGTGAGTAATCCTCTGTCAGAGTCCCCTCCGTATAATACATGTTTTCAGCTACCATAAGTTCATAATGATATTGAGACTGCTGGACTCAGATTCTTACACCTACTATCACAATACATTGAAGTACTTCTAGTGTGTGTGTTTTTTTTTAATCCTCAAAAGTCAAAGTCCCCTCCTGAGAACCTAATCAAGCCACTTCTGCTAAGTTTGATGAGGGAAAAAAATGTTTTTTGCCATTAGTTTTTCGTGAGATTGACACTGTTGGACTCAGTACTAGTCCCACAAGTACTATAAAGTAATTTTACTGTGTACTTTTTGACTAATCCTCTGTCAATGTCCCCTCCTGAGAACAAGAATGCATGTTTCTCTGCTATTTTGAATAAGCGTTAAAACACCTTTATTATGAGACTGATATTGTTAGACAGAGTACTTTAAGAGGATGGTAGACATGATATCAGCAATACTTCCAGTCAGTACTCCAGCAGCAGCATTTATACACCTTGGAAAGTCTATAGAGGCTGGCCTGGATAGCTGGTCTATCCTTCTGCACATTGACACACTCTGTCACTCTTGTTGGCCTCTTATGAAGCTGCTGTCTTTTAAATATGATTATTTCTCTGCTCCTAGTTCATTCCTCGCAGATTCTTCCTTCAGTCCCAGTCATTGCATGTCAGTCAATAGAGCTTCGAAAAATAAGTTTACTTTTGAAATTATTTCTCACAAAAACCTTTCTAAATATTACTGCCAAAAGTCACGTGACTTTTGGCAGTAATATTCCGCCGTGAGAAGAAAAAGTTTTGTAGTTGTAAAAACAAGTTTTGTACTTGTAAAAGAAAGTGTTGTAGTTGTAAAAAAAACGTGTGTACTTGTAAAGCCTATGCTGAATTTGTCTCTGAAACATGATTTATTAGAAAAATGTTATGTGTTGGACGAAGGTAAGTTTTAACCGTTTGTTTTTTCGTTCTAATTGAAAAAAAAAAAAAAGCAGAAAACGGGTCGTTTTTTTTGTTTTTCAATTTTGCCCCAAAACGAAAAAACGAAAATTCAGCTCATTTTTTCGTTTTTCTGTTCTTACTGTTAAAACAAGTATACCACTCAATGTTTCGTTTCCATAAGTGGGTGTGTCTCCAGCACCTCCTGGCTTCTGATTGGCTAGTGTGCCCTATGCTTGCGCTGTACTCTTAAAAATAAAGGTTCTACGTCTTTGCCTTTAGACTGCGTTACAAATATACGTATATTATTATATTCATACATACAAGTACAGAAGACAGTATGTCTGTCTTTCTATGTATATGTCTGTCTCGATGTCTTTCTATCTCGATGTCTGTCTGTCTGTCTTTCTGTAACTATATTTTAGAGTTTAAAGCGTAGCCACCTTTACTCCACCAAATCTGTAAAGTTACTAAAGGTTTTAAATACATGTGTATTTAAAACCTTTAGTAACTTTACAGATTTGGATTAATTATGTGAAATGTAATCAACACTTAAATCAGACTTTAGTTCCACCTGGAGTAAATTCACAAGCTACCCTGCAGTATACAAAGTCATTCAAACTAGCTGCACCTTTACCAGCTTTGAGAACACTTTCATGATCAATCATTATAAAACATATCATATATATTATTCTGAAATGGACCAATCTGCACAATGACTACTTTTACTGTTGCTACTTTCACTATATTTTGATGAGAATACTTTTCTACTTTTACTTGAGGAACATTTTTAATGCAGGACTTTTACTGTAACAGAGTATTCCTACACTCTGGTACTTCTACTTTTACTCAAGTACAAGATCTGAGTACTTCTACTTTTACTCAAGTACAAGATCTGAGTACTTCTACTTTTACTCAAGTACAAGACCTGAGTACTTCTACTTTCACTCAAGTACAAGATCTGAGTACTTCTACTTTTACTCAAGTACAATATCTGATTACTTCTACTTTTACTCAAGTACAAGATCTGAGTACTTTTACTTTTACTCAAGTACAAGATCTGAGTACTTTTACTTTTACTCAAGTACAAGATCTGATTACTTCGACAACCTCTGATTAATGGTTGATTTCCAAATGTTCTGTTGGTGCGTGGATGATCAAATAATAGTGTTTGATTGTATTGCCTTACGTATGCAGCTATTTGCCTGTGTTTAGAAACCTAATTAAACATACCATGGACACACATTCAAACAATTTTCCATTTATTAAACATTGCAGATGAACAATTAACAAGTCATACAGCTAAAGAAAACTACAACAATAATTTTCTGTATGATGATATCATGGAACCTGGAATTTGAACACACACCACTTAACAATAAACAATAAACTTAACAATAAACTTAACAATAAACGACTGAACTGCTGTCCACTTTAGAGTAGGGCCCTTAAAGCATCCAGTGCTGCAGACAGTCCAGCAACCTGCGTATACACTGGCTCCTGATCCCTGCACTTGCCTTTACACATATCTTCTTACAATGCCTATGAGATCCTTTATCTCGTTTTGGAATGGTGCTGGCTCGTTATGAATGGCACGCTCAAAGAGTTCAGCAATGTCCGCATAGTTCCTTGCAAATTCTTGTTCAGCTGCTGTCTGGTGCTCCCACAGTGGGCAAATGGGTTTCTCCCAAACAGCGACACTCGTGTCAGAGAGGACCCCCACTTCCTGATGAAAGCCGTCTGCAGCATCTGTAGCTTCAGGCAAAAGATCTGCAGGCAGTCTCTTTGGGCACCCACCATGAGCAAGTTGATCTGGGATACCCTTACCTTAAAAAAAACACAAATAAGTGGCCATTGTTAGTGTAATGTTACATATCATGCATATCAATGAACCTCACACAGCGTGTAATCATAGCCTGCCCTTACAAACAATTGTACTTGTGCTATTAGTACAGTTCTTACAAACTTTAAAAAGTATGTTTTAATTTGACTGTTTATGTACTTACCAGATAATATATGTTTCATGCAATAAGAGCAATCTATAAACTAGATAGTAGATATGTCTTTACTCAGACAATTATTGAAATATTGTAATATATACATGCCACATTTAAACATTTCCCATCAACCCTAGTGTAAAAAAGGGGATACAGAGAGAAACAAATGTAGGATATAAGTACAACTTATAAAAATGCATAAAGAAGGTCATTTGTTATGGGGCTTAAGTAACATTCTGAAAACTGCTATACAAACCTTGGATTCTGTGTGCATTCCAGGACTGCACCATCCGGTCAAGTCCAATTTTGGCTACCTGACAGGTAAGAGTGGACACACAATGTGATGTTGTCTTCGAGGTTTAGTTCCTCCTGGTCAACAAGGTGGTTGAGTGCGCCTTTCAGAGGGTAGTTTACCCTGTTGTTTACCTCTGGCCGCATCCTTTCTATAATATGATTCTGTAATTTAAAATAAACAAAAATGAGAAGAGTCAAATGTAGAGAGCACATTGTAATTTCCCAATTTCTTTCCCAATTTCCGGCTTTGTATTTGATCCATTTCATGTTGTATCCAGTTCAAAAGTACTGTGTATCTCTCCTATGTCATAGGAAAAAGCTAGCAGTCCCCTAGAGAAGTTTAGTGAACGTCATGGGTCTATTGACGCTTTATCAGCTAGCAGTTGGGTGAATAATGGAATGAGATCAGAAATCTTTTATTTGTCTCGCCACAGGGTAATTTACACGATTACAGCAGATAAAGTGAGGAATAAAAGACAAAAATGGCTATGTGAGGATTGTCCACAGTATTGAGTATGTACGTCGCTTTGGATAAAAGCGTCTAACAAGTAACATGTAATGTAATGTATGAACACGTTGATTGCAATTCAGATAAAAAAACAACTCGCCTGTGTTGACTTTGTTTGCATGTATGGCTGTCTGCCTGTGTTATTCCGGTAGTCTGCCAATTTCTCCTGCATGAAAAGAGTCAAGTAGAATTATTTTCCATGGTCTACTCGGATTTGGTCCCACATTCCATATCGTAGGACAGCACTCCTGCAAAACAGCAATACAAAAGTCTTATGACATGTAACAGAATTTCATGTTTGTTGTTACAACCTAAGCATTGCTAAGATAATTTTATACGCCAGTTTAAAATGTTGATCTCATCAATCAATTACCAAGTAACGTACAATATACAGTGGTTTACATGTCAGTAGTTTTCGATTACAATATTTTTCCCAAATAAAAACTGTTCAAATAAGCTACATTTAGCCATTGTGTTTTTATTTAGCTAAATGTTTACTAAATGATTTACTGTCTGCTGTTTACAACCTTTTTATTAGGTTATTATTATATTATTATAACAGAAACAGCAGCGTTCAGTTATGCTCCAAATATCTGGAACAAACTCCCAGAAACCTGCAGGTCCGCTACAACTCTTACTACTTTTAAATCCAGGCTGAAGACTTATCTTTTTGTCGCTGCTTTTAATTTTAATTGAAACTGAGCCGTTGTGTTCATCAGTAAAGTGGAACTTCTGTGTGAACTATTCATATCTTAATGCACTGTAACTTTTTATTCATGTACTTTTTATTCATGTATTTTTTCTTTTAATGTTTCTTTTATTATCTTTTACTGTTTTTAAATGCCTTTGTCTAAATGTCTTTCATTTTTGTAAAGCACCTTGAATTGCCTTGTGTTGAAAGGTGCTATATAAATAAACTTGCCTTGCCTTGCCTAAGAATGATGCACTTCTACAAACAAAAACAACATAATTAAAACATTTAAACAAACTACGTCGTCAGGGTATAGGACCCAATTGCACGACCCAGGAGACAGAGGTAAAGTATTTGTAAGATAAAAATAACACTTTCTAACCTGCTTTTTTACCAAGTCACTAGAAAACTATATTTATTTTTTTGTCGTTATCTTCCGCCACACATTCACATACTGTAGATGGAATGCAGAAGGAACGACAGAGATTAGTATAGTTATGACACTGGGCAAACTGGTCAGATTAAAAGATAGCATTCTCTATCATATGATCTTGTTTTGTTCATTTCTAAGGTGATGCAACATTTCAGAAAAATGTGTGACGTTTCAAAGGCTTTTATTTGATTCCTATATAAACCCTTGATAGATGTCAACTGTCACAGAAGGTGAGGTTTCCAATATCCCAGACGCTGAACCGGACTATATTTGAAGACACGGAAATAATACAACACTTAAAAGAAAGGAGGATAAACTCTTTCCCATCTTATTATCTTTTCATTTGTGGTAAGTACATGTTTAAGTAAATATGTTGACTTCTGTACAGTTCTTAACTTTGTTTGTGTGTGTCTAAGTGTTAGTGACCGAGAGAGTTCTTTTGTGTTTTCATTGTCACAATACTTATTGTAAATAATCTCTGCCCTACTTTAAGGAAATATTATTATATTATAATAATTGCGGAAAATAATTGATGTTTGTATCAAACCAATTCCCCTAGGATGTTTTGGGTATCATTATAGCAGTATATATATATAGTATAGCATTACTTGCTACTTCTGATGGTAAATCTATGTATCATTTCATTTTATAGATTAAAAGAAAAACAGGATGGGTATCAAACGGATCATATCACTTTCCCTGATTCTAATAGGTAAGTGTGATAATAAACGGATTACTTTGAAGGTACTTCATACTGTTTGTTTATTCTATTAAAAGATGAGATAACATGTAGATAAGGTGGAGTTCTTGCCAGCTCATTATCCAATATTGCTTTATCCACGTTGGCACAAACAACACGGCATGCCAACAATCGGAGGTACTTAAGTCCGATGTTACCACTCTCTTTAAATCGCTTAAGAAGTGCAACAAGTCTTTTTTTATCTCCGGGCCAATCCCCTCTCTCCGTCGAGGCGTGGGGCGTTTTAGCAGGCTGCTCAGCCTGAACACATGGCTGGAGACGGCATGCTCCGCGAACAACTTGATAATGATGGACAATTTTAATCTTTTCTGGGAGCGGTATTCTTATTTTAGCAGAGATGGCCTCCACCCCAGTTCACAGGGTAGCCGTGCTCTGGCTGCTAACATTTTCCATGCTGTCTACACTGCTAAACAGACCTGACAATTCAGTACCATATCCCACCGAGACATGATAACACCGGTCATTACAACTACGACTATTAGAAACTCTCCCTGCCTGCCAGTAGCTTTGCCCATATCTGTGTTGATAGGTAATAGAGTAAGAGTGGTGAATCAGCTTAGAAACAAGAAGCGCTCAAACGTTTGTGTGAATTTATCAAATTTAGCAGTGATTCCATGCCAGCTGTAAGGGAAACTTCTGTGTAGCAATGCAGTGGGAGTCACCGACTCAGGAAAGAGACACGGGAAGAGCAGGAGCTTTGATGTCAAACACTGATGGTTTATTTGGAGCTTCGGCCGGAGAATTCATATCACAAGTCCAAGAGCCAGAGGTTCTGACTTCACGGTAGAGTTGCCACGTCAATTCTGGAGCGCCTCTCTCTCGTTAGCCCATTTAACTGGTTTCGCAGAGAGTAATCAACATATTTGAGAAGATAGCCTAAACAGTTGGGAACACTGAGTTACTTGCGTCTGACACTTATGGCCTCGAAGATTTCACACCTTGGAGTCCACAAACACAGAGAAGGAAGTGTCCCAGTGTACCCACAACAATAAACCATCTGTGACCTAGGGTTGCCCGGTCATAGAAAGGGAACAACAACATTATGGCTGAAGCAGCCTATCTCCTTAAAGGATATAACAGACGTCAGGGTTGGTCATGCACTTCATATCTAGGAGTCTAAGACAATTATTTCCCTAACACCAGCCATAGCTTGTCACAAACAATCTGACTAATAGTGTGTACAAACTTAAACTAGCTTTATTAAATGTCAGGTCTTTGGCAGGAAAACAAATTTTAATCAATGATTTTATCACTGAGCACAATCTCGATTTTATGTTTTTAACGGAAACTAGGAGTGAACAAAACAACAGCTCAGCTCTTCTTATCGAATCAACCCCTCCCAACTTTAGTTTTATGAGTCAGGAAAGAATGCATAAGAAAGGAGGTGGAGTTGCTATTTTGTTCAATGATTCCCTTCAATGCAGAATTATGTGGCCCTTCAGCTGAAATGCTCCTCTCGAGCTCTTGTTACGATTATTGTGTTATGTCACGTTTTGTATGTCTTGTTTTGGGTGTTTTGCTGTTCTCCCCGTCGTGTTTTCCTCCGTGTATATTGTCTGGTCCTTTTCCCTGTGTTTTTCCTCCTGTCGTTAGTTTCCCTGGTGTGTCTAGTTGTCTGATTGTGTTCACCTGTGGCCCTTGTGTTTCTCCTCCCCTGCCCGGCTGTTTCTCGTCTTGTGATTACCCCTCCCTGTATTTAGTCTTGGCTCTTCCTGTGTTCAGTGTTGGTTCGTCTTTTGTTGGTGACTGAGTTCACCGGGGAGTGTTCGGTTTTGTCCGAGTTTTATTCATATCCTTGAAATAAAGGTGTTATCAGTTTATTCTGCATTTGGGTCCTGCCTGCTTCACTCTACCGTAACAGAACCAACCAACCAAGAATGGACCCAGCGGACAGTTTGTACGAGGTGGAGTACAATTTGACATGTTTGAGGAATGACTTTAAATATGCTTCCAGTAGTGAAGAGAGGCAGTCCGTTTTTTCTGCGGCACGCCAGGAGGTAACCTCAAGGCCCTGGTTGAGGGAGTTGCTACCCGAGTGGGTGGAGGACTTTTTTGGCAGATTTGAGGTCAAACCTGATTCCCGGCCTGCTCGCCCCAGGCATGCTAGCTCCATGTCTCCCAATTCCCAACCTGGCACCATACGCCTTGGTGGGTTCCGCCTGAAGTCAACCCGTGCTTCTTCCCCAGTTCCTGCTCCTGTCCAGGAGTTGTATTCCGGAACTCGTCTGGCTTATGGAGGTCCACGGAGTATTCAGGCGGCTGCTAAGAGGAGTTGTCGCAAGGCCAGGCTAGCAGCCCCAGCAGCCATGGTTCCAGACCCAGTTCTGGCCCCAGCGGCCATGGTTCCAGACCCAGCTCTGGCCCCAGCTGCCACAGTCCCATCTCAAGTCTCCTCTCGAGTCCCCTCTCCGGTTTCTTCTCAAGTCCCCTCTCCAGTTCCCTCCCGAGTCCCTCTCCAGTTCCCTCCTCTAGTCCCTCCTCTAGTCCCTCCTTTAGTCCCTCCTCTAGTCCCTCCTTTAGTCCCTCCTCTAGTCCCCTCTCGAGTTCCATCTCTAGTCCCTCCTCTAGTTCCCTCTCGAGTCCCCTCTCGAGTCCCCTCTCGAGTCCCCTCTCTAGTCCCTCCTCTAGTCCCCTCTCTAGTCCCTCCTCGAGTCCCCTCTCTCGTTCCCCTCTCCAGTTCCCTCCTCTAGTCCCTCCTCTAGTCCCTCCTCTAGTTCCTCCTTTAGTCCCTCCTCGAGTTCCCTTCTCTAGTCCCTCCTCTAGTTCCTCCTCTAGTCTCTCCTCTAGTCCCCTCTGGAGTCCCCTCTCTTGTTATCCTCTCGAGTCCCCTCTCGAGTTCCCTCTCTAGTCCCCTCTCGAGTTCCCTTCTCTAGTTCCTCCTCTAGTCCCTCCTCTAGTTCCTCCTCTAGTCTCTCCTCTAGTCCCCTCTGGAGTCCCCTCTCTAGTTCCCCTCTCGAGTCTCCTCTCGAGTCCCCTCTCGAGTTCTCCCTTGGTTCCCCTCTCAAGTCTCCTCTCAAGTCCCCTCTCGAGTCACGTCTCAAGTCCCTACCCAATGTCCTGGTCCGTTGGAGGTTCCGCTGGTGGTCCTGCCAACTCCATGTCCTGTCCCGTTGGAGGCCCCGTCGACTACTCCTCTGCCGGGGGTCCTACCAATCGTATGTCTGTCCCGTTGGAGGTCCCGCCGTCTACTCTCCTGCCGGGGGTCCTGCCAGCTCCTTGTCCTGTCTCGTTGGAGGTCCCGCCGACTACTCTCCTGCCGGGGGTCCTGCCAACCCTTTGTCCTGGTGGCCCTAGTTTTGTTTTGTTTTGTTTTGTATTCATATCCTTGAAATAAAGGTGTTATCAGTTTATTCTGCATTTGGGTCCTGCCTGCTTCACTCTACCGTAACAGCTTTGTTCTTAAATATCTACAGACCACCCAAATACTGTGAAAGCTTTTTTTTTAATGACTTTACTGAACTGCTGTCTATAGTGTGTATTGACTTTTACCGTCTAGTCATTGTTGGTGATTTTAACATCCATGTTGAAAACCCCCAGGACAGAGGGGCTAAATAACTGTTTTGTGTTCTTGATAGCTATGGACTGACTCAGCATGTGACGGAGCCCACGCATAATAAGGGGCACACTCTGGACTTAATTCTCTCTAAGGGTTTGAATATCTCTGAGGTTGTGGTGACTGATGTTGCACTCTCTGATCATTCCTGTGTTTTCTTTGAGAGCTCTATTTATGTTCACAAAAATGTTCAAAAAGAGGTAACCACAAAGCGATATTTAACTGAAAATACTAGGGAAATGTTTACTCAGAATTTTTCTTCCACACTTGCCCCTGCTAACATCTCAGTAAATGAGCTAGTAGATCATTTTAATTCAAAAATGAAAAATGTTATAGATGCCATTGCTCCAACTAAGGTAAAGGCAGTGACTGGCAAGAACATATCTCCATGGAGAAAGGCCATGACCGTGAACACAGAAAAAAGAGAGTGTCGAAAAGCTGAACGCAGGTGGCGAAGAACAAATCTCCAGGTTCATTTTGAAATCTATAAAGAGAGACTTGGCCTTTATAATTTGGAATTGAAAAATGCACGACAGTCTTTCTTCTCTGACATCATTACCAAAAACAAAAACAACATTTAGAAAATCAGACAAGCAGTCAGTGCCTCTGTGTCATTGTTTGGTTGTGGCGGCTGCAGTGGGCTTTTCGGGAAAGAAACTTAATAACACTCCAAAATGAGGATAAAGTTTGCAGAGGGAAAAACTGTCTAATCAGCTAAAATGGGTTCAATTGGTAAAACTGACTTTACTCTTCGAAGTATGCCCACATCATGCTAATCCAATGCAGATTTTTTTAGGGGGGGGGGGATTTTTGCAAGCAATGCCCACCTTTAAATGTATCAGTGTGGGTGATATTTAATGTTTTCATAACAGTGGTATCGACAACTGCCGATGTAGCTGCAACAACAACTGCTTCACCTACGACTGCTGCACCCACAACTGCAACACCTACGACTGCTGCACCCACAACTGCAACACCTACGACTGCAGCACATACGACTGCTGCACCCACAACTGTTGCACCTACGTCTGCTGCACCCACAACTGTTGCACAAACGACTGCTGCATCCACAACTGCTTCACCTACGACTGCTGCACCCACAACTGCAACACCTACGACTGCTGCACTCACAACTGCTTCACCTACGACTGCTGCACCTACAACTGCTTCACCTACAACTGCAGCACATACGACTGCAGCACCTACAACTGCTGCACCAACTGCTGCACCCACAACTGTTCCACCTACAACTGCTGCACCCACAACTGCTGCACCAACAACTGCAGCACATACGACTGCAGCACCTACAACTGCTGCACCTACAACAACTTCACTGCATTTATTAATGTGTTTAATAAATGCTGGCTAGGACAACCACACAAACGGCAGCAACTTTCCCTCTGCTTCATTCTTTTCTCCTGTTCAACAGGCTTATTATCTGATTACCAGCTCTGCACAGCAGACTTGCAACACTAGCAGCAGTGGAGATGTAGCATCAGCACCTGGAGAATACAGCAACAACAACAAGGATCCATTTGAAGATAGGTAAATATTACAGTAATAGTGTACTTTCACATTGTGTGGGTGTAACATAGTTAAATAGGTTGTAAGAGAGAGAGAGAGAGAGACTCCTGTCCCACCTCCCCATTTTATTTTGAGTTGTGCATTGCTATTTGTGCTTGAGAAACATTCCACTTGAACTTTATATTTTAATGAACTTAGTAGTAATTATTGTCCTATATTTCTTTCCGATTTCACAGCTGCCTGGGCCTAGCAGCAAGAACCTCCATCTGTGCCTGCACCCAGGTCAAGATCTACCGTGGCTCAAGGGCCTTCACCAGAGCCATCACCACCAAGGACCAGAGGACCAGCATCACTACAGCAGCCTCCACCTCCATCTGTGCCTGCCACAAGATTAAGATACACCTCGGTACAAAGGCCTCCACCACAGCCATCACGATCAACCCAGCCAGCAAAGAAGTCTCGCCTAGCACACCTCCCTCCCTCCGACACAGCCACCAGCAGCCCATGCACCATCACCCCCACCTACACAGCAGCCAGACCCACTGTCTTGGAAGACAGACAAAGACCATGGCACTGCTCCCCCTGTCTTTACATTTATAATGAATAGTTGGTTGAGAAAGTTCTGATATTGTCAGGGTTCGTACAGTCATTAAAAACCTGGAAAAGTCATGGAATGCAATATTTTTCCCAAAGTTTTGGAAAAGTCATAGAAATATAACTAAAGTTGCATCAAATATAATTTATATGTTATCTAATCGCCGAAATAGTAATACTATAATGATAATAAATACTGTATCGTATAATGAAACGTAAAATGGCAACTGTGGCAGTATTTCGCTGGTGAGAGATTTTTACAATCACGCCCTCTAGTCTACAGGAGCTACTATTTGATATAAAGATGCCAGGGAAGTGCAGTTTCAACAATGTATGGCTTCTAAAGAATAAGTACCAATTGTGGTTATCAAAAGACATTGACCCAAGATGTGCTAAATGCAAACTGTGTTGTAACATATTCAATATTTCGAATATGGGCGAGGCAGCGCATGCTAGCCACATGATAGTCATTGTTTTGGTCATGGAAAAGTCATTTAAAATCATTGGTGAAAAAGTGTATGAACCCTGTATTGTAAATATTGAGATGTTACAGTTTCTTACAGTATGTTAACATAAATAGTTGGTCGAAAAAAAAAGTTGTAATGCTCAATTTGTATTTGTACACATCACATGAACCTCAGTATGGAATATGAAGTCATGAATCAGTCCTGATGTAACTTTTCTGTGGTGAAAGTATAGTGATAGAACTATTTTACTCCAAATTCTAATTTACACTTTTTCCTTTTAGACATGAACAACACATTTATATAGGCATAGAGTGTAATTCATATATTTCACTACTTTTGTGAACCAAAAACGTTGGTAAACCAAATCTGAAACACCAAACAAAATGGATGACATGAGTACATCTGTGTTTTCACAAGAGTTTTTAAGTTTTCCAAAAATCTGATTTCTAAGCTAAGTATCTCATAAGACAGTGCTCTAAGGTGAGTGACATTGCATTTCTAGCAAGACCAGAGACTGAACATTTTGATATGTTACACCATGCCATGTTATAAGAAGTACATTTAAAAGGTGATTTAAGGAGACATAAATACCCTTCACTTCAGTAAGATAAGGTAAGGCGATTTGATTTTAAAAGACAATTTTTTATATTGATTGATATATTTATTATATTGAAAGCCAAATTAATACATAGTCCCCTGAATCTGTAATAACGTACAATTTACAGCCTCACAATGTCAGGAACTTTTCATCTACAGATTGCTTTGGTCTGGTTTTGCTCTTCACTGATTGGTTACTGAGACTTTGAACTTAAACGGAACTCCCCGTTTATAAAACGGACCTCCCCGTTTATAAAACGGACCTCCCCGTTAATCCGCGAATTATGGCGCAAATGGCGTTCCATATATGGTATTTTAAACTCGATGCGCTCTGAAACTACGGGGCGGCCGAGGAAAAAAAATACACATGCGTTAATCGCGTTAAAATAATTAGTGGCGTTAATTTTTTTTTGCGTTAACGTGTTATTAACGCCTTAACTTGACAGCCCTAGTTTTAACCACACACACCTCTACACACAAACACACACGATTTAAACGCAGACTTTTCTTCCTCCATGTTTCGTTGTTATCGTTTCACTGAGCGGACCCGCGAATATTTTTTCAAACGCTCCCTTTTTTGGTCCATCTGCGGTGGTAATAGGTTTTGTGCGCTGTGATGATTCGGCTGTACCTTTAGTAATGAATATTAAATGTTGTGAGGAAATCTTTCAAACAATAATTCCAATAAGTAATCCAAAATGTATTCACTTCAGGTTTACGAAAGTAACTGTATACAGTTACTTTCGTGAACCTATATTACATTTGAAAAACGAGTAATCTGATTATAATCAGATTACTCGTTTTTCAAATGTAACGCGAGCTGAATACAGTTAGTTGATTTTTTTCTGATTACGTAACGCCGTTACATGTATTCCATTACAACCCAACCCTGTATGTGGCCCATTTGATACAAAAAATGCAAACAAATAATTGTTACATAGCTTTTTTCTTGGTCCGGCAGTTAAAGGGTTAAAGGTATCTATTTTTGTTCAATCTGTAGTTTACAAATGGTAATGGACACAAAATAAGTCTGCTAAATCATTAATGGTTAAAGAAGGTCAAAAAATGTATTTTGCATATTTGGGCACAGGAAATGATGTCAGCTAGTCTGAACTGCTCAGTATTATTGCAGATAGATACCTACTACATAATTATCTGTGTAATTTCCAGTAGCATTGTTAAAATATCTGGGTAATCCCACTCCCACCACTGCACAACCTGAGTCTACTGCATCACTGCCTGTAGCAGGTGAGTTCAGTCAAGTATTTTGTGATATTGCCTGTTGAATTCATTAGGGTGGTGTTCGTTCTGTTTAGAGTCTGCGAGGTCCTGATAATTTATTCCGGTAAATTACTCTGACGTACTAATTGACCTGATCGAAGTTATTGAGTCTATGTAAGTTTGCTGCTTGGCTCAGATCCACCAAAGTCAGCAAGATCTCACCTCTTCCTAACCCCCCGAAGAACCAGGTTCAATTAACTGCTGTTTCAATTCAGACAACCCTTTTTTAATCTGTTTAAGGGATCCCGAAGGATTTTGATTTCAGTAAATGGAGTGTGCTCCTACCTAAGTGTGAGTGGCAGGGTGCAGTCTTACCTTTGAAGCAGGAGAGGAGAGCACAGGTTGTCTTTTAAGTTATCCCAGTCCAAAAGGTGGGATCAGTTTATTTGAAGAAAAATAGGTCCAAACTAATACAGGGTTTTTACCTTCTCTCTTTACAACATTATAATCATACTAAAAAAAATGGTGCTGTGATCATGCTTAACGCCTTCGCAAACGTCAATCGTTTGCACAGAGGAACGGGTGCATGAAGAGAGGTATTCTTATTGAATACCCGTTCTTCCAAAAAGTGGGTCAATTTCTTCTCCCCTGCGGCATGGGCTGAGTTGAAGTCTGCAACGAGCTCATCAGAGGCGGGCATGGCCGACTGCAAGGTACGGAGGGTGGTTGAGGCCGTATCGAACGGGAAGGTGTCAAACTCATGCATGCATTCAACCAGGTCTTGCACACACTGCTCATCTTCTCGCATCCGTTTGGGGCCGCATTCCGTGTGCTTCCTCTTTGTCTTTTTTCGGTTTGCAAGGGCATTGTGAGCTGCCCGGATCTGGGCCACATTGTTCACATTTCTGGAGTGCACCAGCAGCTGCTTCTCATTCTGTAGGATAGAGAGCCAACCAGACTTCATTTTGCTACCCTTGTTCATGGTGCATTCGATCCACATGTCCCAGGCCATGTTGGAATAGGGGTTGCCTGTGATGGACTGGGTGAAGTCAGTACAAAGGAACGCAACCTGATCTGCAGGGAGAGCTGTCAACATCGCCCAAAAGTCTGGCAGCCACTTCCCATATCTATTGTTGTCGTAAGCTACCATCCATGGCAGCATCGCACGCAGAGAGCTCACATACTCATCCCAGTTGCATATATGGACCGCATGTACATTCTGCATGAGCGCGTCTGTCATGGACAGGAAATCCCTCCAGTAGTTTGCCATGTCACTGGCCTCAACGTGGGTGAACATGTTGGTGACAAGGCTCTTGAGGTCAGCATCATTCTCTAGTGCCACATGAGCATCAGCGCGGGATTCCTCGGATTGACTCGTATCTCTCAGAATGTCAAGGTTCTCCCTCGTCTCATCAGCCAGGTCGGGCCCGAGGTTCTCCTTCATCAGCTGACACATAAGGGCCTCGTACATGAGTCGCAAGCAGCGTAGCCCCCTCTTATAATGTTTGCCTTTCAGTGCACGATCGACGGAGCCATCGGCAATAACTCCAGCCGCGACAAGTACTTCACCTAGTTCACTACCTTTGTACCGCTTGTAGATGGCACTCATCATCACACACTGTGTATGGAAGGGACCAAGAAAAGGTACAATGGCACTGAATTTGCTTGGGTTTTCGGCCTTGAGCAGGGTGATGAGGACATACACGGGATGATCTCCAACTAAGAAGGCAAAGGGCATGTGCTTAGTTGCGATGATGGTAACCAGCTTGTCCATGACGTCCTTCACAACTGACTTGTCGGGCGGTTGATTGTAAGATGTATGAAAATAAGCCTTGCTTTTGTCCTGCCACATATTCAATCCAGCGTGAAACCCGTTGTACGAAGGGATATTCTGTTCGGCTGCAACAGGGCGGTCACCATTCACATCAGCACGTGCAAGGGCATGAATAATGCTTCGCTGGCGCTGAGGCTCAGTACTCGATGAGACAGTAGTAGGCTTAGGACGGATCGGAGGCTCGCCACGCTTGACGGTCCTATATGGCATAACCGTTTGCATCTCAGAGGCCTTCTCAGTCAGCACGTCCGAGACAGTCTTGGCATGTTTGATCCGCGGTTGCTCATCCTGGGTGTTTGCCTCATGCTTATGTACAAGACGTTCTTCGCGTTGCAGAAACATCCAATTACAGCGGTGTGAAGTACCTCCTCCTGTCAATGTATCGTTCCGAAAATCGTCATTGTCGATGATACTGATGCTTGGTTCCCCTTCAGCGATCTCTGCCGGACAGACCGAGCACCGCTCAAGGTCATGCATTGTCCAAACATCACGTAGCAGAAGCACGTTCGGGTAACTGATCCCCATGCTCAGCTTGTAGTACGAATCAACAAGCTCCTTGCTACGAGTCAATCCGTGAAGGGTGACGGTGGCATTGATGGTGGTAGTGGTGGGTCGCTTTATAATGTACTGTGTGATGAGAGAGGTGAGAGAAAGTGTGCTTGGAGACAGATCTACCCCATGCTTCCCCTGCAAAGCCGATAGCAACTGCAAAACGAGAGGCGGGAGTTCCTCCTCCTCCTCTAGCTCCTCGACTCGTGGAGGCCATGGGACGAGTTTGATGGACTTGACATCATCTCTGAGCCGCGCAGCCACATTTTGCACCAGTTGCTCACTGCTGACACCAATAGAGGAGATCGCTGCTTCGACATATGAACCGCTCCCAGACGTGTCATAGACTAGGTCGCTCTGGTTTCTCTGAGGGCGAGAGTGGAAGCCGATCTTGTCCTTAAACTCCCGGGTCAGGATATCTTTGATGTAGGATGACTTGACTCCAGATTTTGGGAATCCATACCGAGAAACGATAGAGCTGTAATCTCTGAGGAGGCTCTGCAGTGACCTTAGTTCATGTTCATCAAAGATAACTGTTCTGATGTTATCAAAGAAAATTGTCTGAGCTTCACGGAGAGTGACATTGTGCATGTGGGGAAGTTTGTCATCTTCACTCATTCTCTGGTAGTTACGAACATATTTAAACCAGCATTTGTGATGATATCTGATCTCAAGTGCATACGGCTGATCAGCTGCATAATTGATCAGACAGTTGATTCTGTCGCGCATTAGTTCATCTTCCAGAGCCACCGTATGGCTCTTGAACGCTGCCCATGCATGATCGTACAAAATCAGGACCAACTTTGATTCTGGATGTTTTGCCGACTCCGTCTTACAACACCACACACATTTATTTTTATCGTGTATCAGCCCTAGACTAGATCGCAGCCGCTTGAAAGATGGAGTTAAAGCTGTGGAACTAATGTCA